AAAGGGTCTCTTGCTAGGGGAGCTAAGATTGCTTGGGATTCGGTTTGTACTCCAAAGGAGTCTGGAGGTCTTCGTTTAAGGAGACTACTTGATTGGAATAAAGTTATGGGGTTGAAGCTTATTTGGCTAATTTTCACTTCTTCTGGTTCCTAGTGGGTTTCTTGGGTTCGTCTAAACTTGATTGAAGCAGGGAAATTTTGGGACAGCAATATCACCTCCGGTAGTTGGGTTTGGAAGCAACTATGTAAACTAAGACATTTAGCTCGTTCGTTCATATTTTGTGAGATTGGATCAGGGATAACAGCAAGCTTTTGGCACGACAATTGGACATCTCTCGGTCCTCTTATTGATATTACCGAGACCACAGGTCCTTCTCGCTCTGGCTTACCAATTGATGTGGTTGTCTCAGATGCTATCATCAATGCTAGGTGGTGGATCGATGGAACAAGGAGTCGAAACCCGATCATCTCCTTGCTTCGTCAATGCCTTCCATCTCCTATACTATTGTTGATTCGGAATCAGATGATTGTTATAAATGGAAAGATTGGTTATGGCGGCATTCCTAAAGATTTCTCTGCTTCAGAAACTTGGCGAGCTATTCACCCTCCTGGACAAAGAGTAGGGTGGTTTAAAGCAGTTTGGTTCAAGGGAAGAATCCCGAAACATTCATTTATATGTTGGGTAACCGCTCGGAATAGAATGCACACTCGCGACAGGCTCAGGTCTTGGGGATTACAAGTTTCTCCTCGTTGTCTTTTATGTGATGTTGAGGATGAAACTCGCCAACACTTATTCTTCAACTGTCCATACAGTCATGAAATATGGTACGCTTTCTACTCGGTTATGAACTTAACTCCTCCTACAGATTTTGAGCAGTGTCTCTTATGGCTGTTATCTCCTTCCGCCGAATGCCAACATTGCATTGATCCTGAGACTAGCGTTTCAAGCCTCCTTATACGGGATATGGAGGGAACGAAATGCTAGATTACACTCATCGACATCAACTCCGGCGTCAGTCATTATCAAAGACATCAAACACACGATCCGATGTCGGCTAGACCCCCTTACTCGAGCTCAATTACTTACTCCATCAACAACCACTTTGCTAACAACTTGGTTCACTTTCTTTTAAGTTTCATGAAGTTAATATATGTAGCGATAGCTATTACTTCATTTATTGTATGCAGATTCTGTTCATTCCAATCTGATGATTATCAGCACTGTAACCCTGCGGGGAATAACTTCGGTATTATTAATGGAAATT